AAGTCAAGTGAACGTCAAATTTCATTTACAGAGCTTACCAGTACATCGACGCTGAGGGAAAACCAGTCTACGTGAATTACAGAGCCGACTCAGAAAAAGGATTCCAGGTCAGCTCAAATGTGCTCCCAGTCGCCCCAAAGGTTGACCTCGTACAGCCAGTTCATGATCAGGAAGTAAGTGTGAATTTTGATGCATTTTCTTCAAGATTCTCGGAAATTTGCACTACAAAATTTGTCGAATCTCAATTTGAAGGAAAAAATTATTCAACTGCTTTCTCTCTATAAAGTGTATCACTATTCACTAATGAGGAAAAATGGAGTTTAACACAATCAGAATTCAAAATCGAAAGATTACTACGCATTTTAAACAAATGGCGCGTTTTCAAATATTTTTGGAAGGTATTTCTAACGCCGTCGAAAATATTCTGATTTGAAAAAAATGAAATCAACTTCTTTTTCAAGCTTTTTAAAAAATAAGATTGTCACTGTTACAAAATCTGTCTACTTCTGTCCACTCAATATAACAAAAAAGTTAACTAAATCCTCGAATGAAGGACACTTCGAAAACATTTCCTACTTCTGAAGCTTCGAGAAAGTGTGAAGTTCAGAAAAATATATTCTCCATTATTTTTCAGCAAATCCACAGAACACCAAATTTTTCATTTTTATTCCTGCAATGAATACCTTGAAACTCGAATACTTCTTATTTTATTGGCTTCAGGGAAGAAAAAAGCAATACAATTTTGATTTCATGAGTTGCGAAAGGAAATAAAAGACCAATTGGGTAAATCCACCCTTTCCTCCAAATGCAGCATCCTGCCAAATCATTCAAGAGGAAATTTAAAGCCCCAAAAAACTCCAACTCCAATTTCCCGTAATTCTTCATTTCTCTCAACTCGATGATCATCACTTCGCAAAACTACAGAAATCAACCCTAAAAAAAAGTTGGTAGCTGAAACTCACTTGGTATGCAATAAAGACTCTTCCAGCAATGTCAAGAGGCAATTCAAGGACCATAATATCACCAATTACAATTTCCTTTAATTATTCCCCCCCCCGCCCCCTTCCAAAACAAAAAAAAATTCTTGTTTTTCCAACTCAAAACCTCCCTGACCCGAATTATTTTTTTCCGCTGTTCTCTTCAAGAGACATTCGACTCGTAATTTTTTTTAATCACAATTACAGGGACCAAAGCCCGTGCAGGACACCCCAGAAGTGAGAGCAGCCAAGGAAGAGCACCAGAAGGCAGTGGAGGCAGCCAAGGCCCACGCAGACTACCAACCGGAAGAGACGAAATCCAGGCGGAAGCGCAGCGCCATCTTCTACCACGGGTTGCCCGCCGTCCCGCACCCCGTGTACCCAGCATTCTACCCGCAACCCTACGCGTACTCGGCCCCGTTCGTCCCGGTCGTCAAGACCCTGGCCTACAAAACCATCACCCCGATCGAAGGCACCCCGGCATCCACTTACAAATTCGACCTCGTTTGAAAAAAACAAAAACAAAAAATCGAAATCAATTCCACGATGACGAAAAATTCGGCTGAAATCGGAAACGCATTTTCTTCTAGACATCTTGATGGCATACACGTTTTGACACTGAAGAAGAAGAATAGTTTATTTTTTAAGATTCGAAATATTCGTTTGAAAAAAATGAGACGCTGCAAAATTTTGTGGGGGGAAAATGCGCGCTTTCACGCCATCAAATTTGCTACTGAGAATCTTGAATAAAGACGTCGTTGTTCCACTGGCAAAAAAGCAGAAACTGTTTTCTTTCTTCTAAAAGTGCAAAAAAAAAGAATATATAATATAGAAGTTTTTTGCCGCATCGCAAGTATGCAAAAAAAATTATCGCTTCTCCTCTTCGTCTACTAAGAATCTTGAATCAAGTCGCCTTATATGGAAATCGCAAAATTCATTATAGCAAGATCTGCGCGAAAAATTGTGGAACACAAATGTATGTCTTCATTTCA